AGTGGTGCCCGGACGGCGCGGCGCAGGGGGCGCCGAGGCGCCAGCGATAAATCGGGCCCGTCCCCCTACACGGGGCCTTCGGGCGAAAAACAAAATACTCAAACCATACTCTAAAAGTGATCAAGATTAGATAAAACATCGTCCCACTATGTTTGAACATTCTCCCTCTAGAAGGACAGGCCCGACTTATCGCCAGCGTGGAAGAGAGTGTCAACACAAACGCGCGCATGTGAAAATCATTGAGGGGAAGCGCCAGGAGGAGTCAGGAACCCACGCTGGGGTCGACAGGACGCGAACCCGCGGCGCCCCATGGAGTACGACCGCAATCCGGATGCGATCAAGAACGCATCATAAGAACGCACGAGAAGGATGCGAGGGCCTCCGAAGGCCGTGCCGACACTCTGCGAGCGGGGCGCGGCCAGCGAGAGCGGCCAATGACGGGCCGAAGGGGAAGGATGCAAGAGTAGTGGAATCCCGACCACAAGAAACCTTCCATAAGACACCCAGCCCTGAGACCTCAGGACGTCAATCGATGTTCGATGCGGGAACGTCACGCTTTCCATCGCAAGACCATCGAAACCCAAAAAACCCGGGGCACCCTGGAGGCAAGCAGAGGGCTTCTTAGCATGGGTTTCAACTGTAGTGTGCACTGGGCTCGGCACACGTGCCCGTGCTCTGGCCGTGCGATGGTGCACCGGGTTCGTCGGCCATACGGGTGTGCAAGACGCATCGGGCACCTCGGCTCCCGCGGGCGCTCTGAGAGAGTGGTCCTGGAGCGCTCCAGAAAGATTAACCCTCGTCCCCAGACGTCCGACGTCTTGAGTTTTGGTGGGCGTGGTCTCCACCGCCACCACCAGAAGTAGGAGGGGGAGGGGGTCCTCATCCTCCTCCTCTTCCTCCTCCTCCTCCTTCTCCTCCTCATCCTCCACGGACGCTTAAAGAGGCAGTGCCCGCGGCCTCACCAGACTGCTTACCCAAGCCACCACCACCACCACCTCCTTCCCCCCTCCAACTTATGGTGGTGTTGGACATCGGGCCCATCAACTTTGTCCTCGGAAGACCCGAGCCTTTCCCAGGGGCCGGTGTGTCCTCCCGGACCGTTTTCTCGCGTTTTCTTATACGGCCACGGGGACCGACGAGGGCCCCGAGACGTCGAAAGCTGCGAAAGCATCTCCGTCTTGATCTTGTTCCATGCGCTGGAGGTCACGGGTCCTGGCCTGCCTGACCCCCCCCCGTGTCCGGCCCGCCGCCTTCGTCAGCGAGTGCATCTCGTCGAAGGTGTCCTGTCGAAGTGTGACCATACAGTGGAGTCCCGACCACAAGAAACCTTCCACAAGAAACCCAACCCCGAGACCTCAGGACGTCCATGGATGTCTTGGCGTAAGAACGCCGCGCTCTCCATCGCAAAACCGTCGGAACCCAAGCAACCCGGGGCACCCTGGAGGCAAGCAGGGCCTCTCTTGGCATGGACTCCCACGACTGTGGAGATCGTTATCCTTCAGAGAACACTCCAGGGGATTGCCGCATGCACTCCACGCCTGCCCCCCCCCTCTCTCTCCCTCTGTTTTTTTTTTTTCTCTCTCTCTCTCTCTCTCTTTCTCTCTCTCGCTCTCGCTCTCTCTCTCTCTCTTTCTCTCTCTCTCTCTCTGTCTCTCTCTCTGTTTTGAAATTGTTCTATACAACTACTCTTCGTTTACTTAGCATGCCCTCATACCTCGCTCAGCAATATATTGTCACATACGCACTCTCAACTAGACATACGTGTATGCACACACATACATACATATTCGCCGGCCCGACGGGCCAGAGACGTGCTAAGATTTCCGGTAACTGCGTACAGTATTTCTACTTCGCGCGCGCGGAGCGGCCCCTGGGGGTCCCTGGACGAAAAGTACCCCAGGCGGTCCCCAGCCAGTTCGGGTCACAGATCCCCGGCTGTGTCGGGTCGGGTGGGCGCCGCCCTCGATGCCCTCCAGGGAGCCCCAAGAAGGGCCAAGAGGCCCCGAAGAGGCCCCCAATATAGAACAAAAGGGCTCCGAGATGCCACAAGATCGCTCCAAGATGCCCAAGACTGCCCCCAGACGCCCCAAGAGGCTTCCAAAAACTCCCCAAGAGGACTCCAAGAGGTAAAATCCACTACTTTTCCTTAGGTTTTGGACAGATGTGGGCGTTTCCCCTTTTCGACTTCCCGACCCCTCAAGACAGCCCAAGAGGTCCCCAAGATCGCCCCAAGAGGGTCCAAGAGGGACCCAAGAGGTCCCCAAGACAGCCCAAGAGGGCTCCAGGACCGCCCAAGACGACTCCAAGACGGCCCAAGAAGGCCCCAAGAACGCCCCAAGAGAGGCCCCAGAGGGGGAACACGAAACAACATTTCGAGCCCTCGGCCTTAAGTAGCCCCCAGGAGGTCCCCAGAGGTCCCTTGGAGGTCCCAAGAAGCCGCCAACAGGCGGTCAGGAGGTCGCCAAGAGGCCCCCCATAGCCCCCAAAAAGGTCCAGGTTAAGACGTCCCCGAAAGCCTCGGAGAACTCCCAAAAGCTTCCTGTGCACTGCCTCCCAGTGCGCGAAAATGGGCCAACGGAATGAGCGAAGCGATTCAATGTATGTTTGTGTGTGCATATGTCTATACTGTCATACATCTATATGTATATGGATGTGTGTGCGCAGTGTTTATGTGCGTGTGTCTCTTTCTCTCTCTCTCTCTGCTCTCTCTCTCTCTCTCTATCTCTCTGCTTCTCTCTCTCTCTCTCTCCCTTTCTCCTTGATTGTATGCATGTGTCTCTCTCTAGTATGTGCCCTCTGATCTGGATTAACTACGTGTTGGATATACCCTCACACTCTGACCTCCCGATGCATCTTTAGATGTCATACCTAACCATGTTCGCAAGTACTTTCTAGCCTCCCTGCCGCTGGAGCCGGAGTAAGCGGTGCTGCCCGTTCAACGCCTGCGGCGGTGGGACCGCCTGGAGGCTGCTGTGGCCTCGCAGTTGGCCAAGCAGGCATTCCTGGCCAAGCATGCGGCTCCAGAGGCTGCTGTGGAGGTCAACCCGCAGCAGGTGGGTCTGGCGCCACCTGCAGTCCCGATGGCTTCCAAGGAGTTCAATGGCGTGGATGTCCCGAGCCCAATGTTGCTGGCGCAGCCCGTGGCCCCGGAGATGCTCGAGGGCGCGGAGGTCTAGCGCACCTGGCCTCTGGCACGGGCAGCTGCTCTGAAGGCGCTGCCGCAGCTGCCTGCTGCTCAGAAGATGATTGCAATTCCGACGCCACATGCGGCGGCCGGGGCCAAGGCCTGGAGGCGCCCTTGGAAACGCAAGCCGAAGAGGCCGAAGAAGCCGAAGCAGCCGAAAAACGCCCGTTCGAAGTTGGCCAAGACGGGCTTGAAGGAGTGGCCGCCGGCACCCCCACCAGCAGAGGCTGCCTCGAGCAGCAACACGACGCCGATGCCGTCGCCGCCTCCGCCGGCTCTGCTCGTGAAGGGGAGGCTGCCTCGAGCAACTCTGCGGCGCGCCGGTGCCGCCGCCGCCTCCGCCGGCACGGACCGTGCGCACCCCGCCAAGGAGGAAGTGAAGGTCGAGGAGTTCTTCATCGGCGATCGTGTTGTGGATGCCATGGCATTGGGGACTTTGAACAATCCTATAATTTAATTAATGGTGTGTTCAAACTGTTTGTACTACTGTTCGAAAATGTTCAAACCATTGATCAACATGTTTAAGACATGTTTGAAACATCTGAAAATCTTTTGGCAGCACACATGCTCTCAATTGTTCGACTTCAACAACGATCGTGCGCACAGGCGGAGGAGACTTACGAAACAGAAGGAGTCTGTGGATTCTTCAATTGCATGTTTGGCTGAGCCTCCATCTGGGGCTCACCCATCAATTTCAGAAATTTGTACATCGCATGTTAAGCTGAGCCTCTGTGCGTGGATCGCCCTTCAGATGCATGTTTGGCTGAACCTCCATCTGAGGCTCGCCCAGAAGGTACTCTTCCGTGTCGAGGCGGGTTCCGCCGTTCCTTCGATGCCCAATCTTGAATGCTCCCTTGTAGTCGATGGTGTTCTAGAGATACATCCTTCGGTTGAGGCGCTCTCGGATGAGTCGGTAGCGCACATTCTTGGATTTGATGGGGATTGCGGTGGAGTTTGACAAGTGCCTCCCTCGGACGAGGATCGACCGCCAGCGCCTGCACCCGATTCTTCGCCAAACACCCTGTCTTCTGCAGGCAGGTCAGGTTCAATGGTGAATTGCTAAGCGAAGGATCCAATTTTGCCGCCGATGCCATTTTGACGCCCAGTCCTTCGGTCGAGCTGGCGGGATCGGCGGGATCATTGCACCCATTTGGATGCGATGGTGGATTGAACGATGGGTCCGACTCTGCCGCCGATGCCGTTTTGGCGACGCCTCCTTCGGTTGAGGCGGCGGGCTCGGCGGACTCTTCGACACATTTTCGTGGGATTGACTTTGCCGCCAATGCAATCTCAAAGTCGCCTCCCACTGTTGAGGCGGAATCTGTAGGCTTACCCGCAGACCCAGTCGTGTCGACTGGCTCCTCACCCTCGGGTGCGAAAACGCCTGATGCCTCGGGCTTCGACCATGCGGGCACGAAGACGCTCTCAGACTCATAGTGTGACCTGCTCTGCCGCTTTTCTGACGGCGCGGAGGTGTTAGACGTGCTATGGAAGAAGCCGTGGCTGGTGGCACCCGCCATGCGTGCTGCTTCTGGGCTGGTCCTGGCAGAAGCGTTTGAGCTCATACAAGTTGCACTGACATTGCTAAGTGCGCACTAGTTCTGCAGCGCCGGTTTGCGAGTTCTGAGAGGGCCTCCTCGTGTGCCAGTAATGGTATCTCATGTGGATATATATATATATATATATATATATATGTCTATATACATATATAGGTGTGTGTGTGTGCTCCATCTTGTTAGTCCTATCGGTAACCTAGTTTGCAGCAGTCCGCAATAATAAAATTATCGCGACTCTCTGGCCCATGTACCCTGGCACCTGGCCACGACCAAGACATTCAAGACCCCGGCATCTCAGACACTGCCGAGAGTCCAGAAACTGGAACCACGACGCCGGAAGCCCACCAGAGTTCTGCGAGCCACCCTGGTGAAAACACAGTTGGGCCATCACGCCCCCGTTGCCCGCGACGTTGACGCAAGGCTCGAGCCACGATGTGCCAAGTGTGTACGAGACACCCGCGATGAGACAGTCGATGCACATGCAGTGCCCGCGTGGCCAAGGAGCTTGAACAGCGCAGACGGCCATTCACATCAGCGAAACATGGCTGTGGACATACCACCACCCTGGGCACCCATCAGCCAGGCCCGCCCGCCAAATTCTCCAGAATCCGTTCGGACCATTGCAACGCAAGCATCGACCCGTACGTTGCCATGCGTGCGACAGCTCAGAGCGGGCCGTGGATGGATGATATTACGAGCATTGCCCCCCCGCTGAACACCGTTCTGTTTCGATTCCAGCACCCTCGTGGTGGATAGGCGTTCGTGCTTTTGTCAGGCGAACCCCTTTGCCGTCTGGATCCGAAAAGCGCTTCAAGAAGCTCCCGTGCCTCGTCTGCTGACCCTTCGCCAACTCCTCCCCTGCGTGTGCGCCAGGCCCGAAGGCGGAGAAGGATACGACTGGGCCCTCCCGCCCCCCCCCCGCGTGCCACCAGCGGGATAACATAGACGCAACGTCCTTCTCCCTTGGTGTATATGGAGCAAGCCCCGCTCCCCCGTACACACCAGGCCCTCTCTGGAGAGGGGACGGCCAGGGAATCCCGCGTCGAAGCCTTGAACGCGCGCGTTTCCCGTATACACCGAGAAGACCCCTTGGTTTTGACCGTATACACCAAGGCTCGTCTGATGCAGTGGCTAATGCGATCTAGAGTTGGAAGTCTCCCGGAGCCTGCAAACGCCTGGGGAAAAAAAGCGATGACGGGACACCGGGAGGATGGTGGTGGAGGATGAGGCGCAAGAGGCAGGGACACAGCCCCCGTTGCTCTGGTGTCTCGTGGCGTCCTGGAGCCAAGCGCAAGGGCCTGGAGTCCTGACCTTCGCAGGCAACGCCAAAGGAAGTCCGCCGCCAACGGCGCCCGAACCGCAGTTCGGCCCCGTCTCCTATGGTTGTCGCCGTCGTCCTCCCCCCCCCCTCCCCCTTCTTCCACCTCCCCACATCCTCGATCCCCTTTACCCCCCCCATTGTCCTTATTATACTCCTCCTCAGACTCCCCCTCTATGTTTGCGCTGCTGCCGCGCGCCCGACGGTGGGGCCAAAATTGCCGCAAACAGGGGCCCGCGCGCAATGCCAGGGCACAGCGAGCTGTAGCCATGGGCTCGCTCGCCAATGTCTGTCTGCCCCCAGCGGAGACCATCAGGGGGCACGCGACGATACGAATAGCACGCGGCCGATGCCAGTCCGCGCGGATTTCTCGGATCGGCGCTGGACCCCCCTGGCGGCGCCTCCAGCGCCGCCCCTGGCGCGGCGCTCCGAGCGCCAGGGAGGGGGGTCAGAGCTCCACCGAAGGCCCCAGTGGGGGTGTTCGCATGCGTCTCCCCTACCCAGAGGTATCGCCACCGAAAACGATATTCATATTTGCGGTATTCACAACCGCATATGGTTGGGTCCTTCGCCAGGCTATTTTTTTCAGGGGGGGGGGCCTTTAGGCACCTCTACTGGCACGCGCATAGTTCGCAAACGGCGGGCTGCTCTGCCTTTGATTGAAGGAGCCCCAGGGGTTACGTCTTGCAACGCGCTGCAGACTTGATGTGGTCTGTCCTACAGTTGCACGGCCAGTGAAGACAGAATAACCAGACAAACGACACATTGGTGACCGACGACCACGATAGACCCCAATGGATTGCACGATGAATCCTTTATCGGCTCAACTGATAGCCATACATACGCACGCCGCTTACGTTTCTCCTCCGACGCGCCAGGGGGGCTTCGGCCGGCGGTGGGAAGCCGAGCAGGGACTCTGCCAAGACGATTCGTGTCACCTCGGTGGGCACGTGCACGACACAGAAAGTCACAGCGACAGTCGGGCCCGATGCTCGAGGTTTGGGAGAGCCGAGATGAAGATGAAGGTCATGACGATGATGGGATGACTATGATGGGGATGCTGCTGCTGAGAATGATGATGATGATGATGATGATGATGCTGTTGATGATGGTGATGCTGATGCTGTTGATGATGCTGTTGATGATGATGATGATGATGATGATGGTGATGATGATGCTGTTGATGATGCTGTTGATGCTGTTGATGATGATGATGATGATGATGATGATGGTGATGGTGATGGTGATGGTGATGGTGATGGTAGTGATGATGAAGCTGATGATGATGAAACTGATGATGATGAAGATGTTGCTGGTGATGCTGATGATGCTGATGATGGTGCTGATGATGGGTATGATGGGTATGACGATGATGATGATGATGATGGTGATGGTGATGATGATGATGATGATGATGATGATGATGATGATGATGATGATGATGATGATGATGATGATGATAAGGATGGTGGTGAGGAAGATGTTGGTGATGATGATGTTGGTGATGGTTGTGGCCGTGCTGATAAATCTGGGATGTAGAACGCAGGGGAGGCGCGGCAACGAGCCAAGGCCACGCCGGGGGGCAGCGCGTCCTCCCACTGGGCCCGCAGCCTCTCCACGTCGTCCGCGCGGGAGGCCTCCGACGGCAGCGGCGTGGTCCTGCTCTCGGCACGAAGGCGGCGGCGCCGCCGTGGTCGCCGCTGTCGCCGCCCCTCCTCCTCCTCCTCCTCCTCCTCCTCCTCCTCCTCCTCCTCCTCCTCCTCTTCCTCTTCCTCTTCCTCTTTCAATTCACCCCCCCCCTCCCTCTCCATCGCTTGTCCTTGTAGATGATCCCTGAATCCCCAATGACCCAGGACGTGTTGATAGGGCGGGCCCGAGGCCGCCAGCTCAGGGGTTGGCGAGGGCGGCAGAGCTGCTGGCGGGCCGCCAGTGCGCACCCAGAGCTTGCCTCCGCCCGGCAGGGGAGGCAGGCCGGAGCAGGGTGACGCACCCAGCTCGGCAAGGGCGTGCGGCTGATGCGAGGGTGGCCATCCTGCTCGTGCACACCAGTGAAGGGGCCCTGGGACACACAAATAAATACACACAAACAACAGGAGTCCCCATCTTTTCCCATATTTTCTGTGTTTTTCTTCCCCCCCACTTCCCATATTTTCCCATATTCCTGGGGATCGACGATCAACTGTGTCTGGGTGTTTTTTCCCTCCTGAACCAGATCCCGATTCCTAGCACGAGCAACTGGGCACGGTCGCGAAGGCTCTGCAGCACGTCGACGGTTGGTTATTGCGGGGCGGGTGGTGAACGCCAGAGGCGAGTCCAAAAGGGTGATCCTCAGAAGAAGTGTGGGCTCTCGGGGAGCGTTGCCGGCGGGGGGCACCGTTGGGACCTTGAGCAGTGGTCTCGGGCACAGTGTTGAGTGCCGGTGCTGGAAGCTGCAGAGGGCGGATGGGTAGAAGGAAGTTCTGCTGGGCTAGCAGAAGCTGATGAGTGGTCGCGTGCTGATACAGGAGGACTTGCTGAAACGCTTCGTGGGATGGTCATCTCCGTGGGCCATTGCACAGCGCAAGGTGGGCGGGCGTTTGCCTCAGCTTCCTCGGAGCCTGCACAAGTCGCCGTGGCGCGCCACGTCGCAGTTCATCTGCGGCCACTTGGGAACCGTGCCCCTGCGTGTCCGGCCGACGCTGTTGCATTGGACTCCCCTATTGGCTGCTGACGCCCCTCAAACGCTGAACCCCGCCCGAGTTTCAGAAATTTCCCAGCCCGCCTGAATATATAATCTGTTGGTGCGACGAGGATGATTTATCGATACCTCGTGTAATGAACAGGGGTGGCGGAGCAATGCGAGCGCAGCAACGGCTTTGGGAGCGGATGTGCACGTAGCAGGAGGGGGAAGACGAGTAGGAGGAGGAAAAGTAGGACCCGAGTAAACCGAGTATGTCACCGTAGGCCTGCCTCCCTGTAGATCACATGAAACGCCTTTTTGAACGTTCAGCACGCGATGGGCTGGCATGCGTTCGACAGCCCCGCTTTGAAAAAGTAATGGCTTGCATCATTTTCATGAGCAGTGGGGAATGCGAGGTTGTAGATTCATGCATTTCAACGACGTGTCCAACGATCTCCCCGTTTTGAAAACGGGGGAGCACCCCCATTTCAGTATTTGCCACACACGTCTACACTTCTGGTCATGCACCTCGCGGGAGTGTCGAGCGAGAGTTCTTCTGTGAAGAGACGCCCTGCACCTGCGGAGCTGTGGGATGCGTTCTAGCTTCCGGTGCTGAAAAGCATGAAGCCCCGGGCCAAACTTTCATGCTGAAAAGGACGCGTCCCCTACAACTGTTTTCAAAGCGAATGTGCGCGGCGCTGTGGCGATTGCTCCACTTTGTTGAGAGGAAGTCCCATCCATCCGTGCAGCTTCTGCAAACGTTGAGGCGAGTGTGCACGGCGCCATAGCGAGACCCACTCGAACAACAGCATGTGCTCCATGTTTTTTTTTATTGCTGCGCTCAGCCTCAGTGTGGGCGGCGCCGCGGGTCTGCCAGCACATGCGCGACACGCCGGCGTCCACCCAGGATGGCTGGCTGCGCATGGAAGTACCCCGACAGGTGGGGGGAACAAAAACCAGGCTTAGCAGTGATGCGCATGTTGAAGAGGAATGCGAGCGGCGCCGTGGCGAGAGCTCCTCTTAGAAATCGACCATACAAGTGTGCGCGGCGTCTTGGCGAAATCCCACCAGCCCTCTGGGCGTAGGTGGCTTAGGGCGTCTCCTCTTCCACCCCTCCTTCTTCCCCTTCGGGGAGGGGTTTACCCCTCCCCCTCCCCCCTCCCCATGGACCTGGACGGGGGGGGGGGCCGCGGGTAGTTAGAGCGTCCAAGACGGCCTCGGCGAGGAAGCAATAATCATTGGTTTAATTGGGGTGTTGGCCCTATTTTGGCCTCCTGGGGGGG